CGAGTCCGATCGCGCGATCTAATGGCACGATCGCGAAGTCTGAACGCGCTCTAAGGGTAGGGAGCGCTCCAATTTAGACAGCAGTCCGTCTTTCGTTAACGTAATGAAGGTCTGTCAAGAACAAAGTGGTGCTAGCCCAATATACCGAATCATTTTCCAAAGTTTTGTTAAGACTCCGAAAAACGTGAACCAATTCATACGAAAAGCAAATGCCTTTTCATGCTCACCAGAAACTGGGTCGTTCACTACGGACCCCTCCTCACAACTAACAATTAGACTATGTTCCTCACCCTGACCATCGCCTATTCGCCTTTCCAACACTGGATGCTCTACAACAATAAAGGGAATGATGTGAAATTAAAACTCAACGATTCAGCATTTCAAAGTTTCACAAGACATCGCATCACTGCACCCAAAAGGTTCGCTGTGTTTATGGGACCTTATAAAGGTACGGTGTATTGAAGAAGTGAAAAATCACTCGACAGAAACAGAGACACAAAAAGGTTTGCAAACACTACAAATGCTCATCAGGCTTTTTTTGTCTATTCTGACCTTTTAAACAGTTTTCAAACAGTTATTTATCATAGGTCACTTATATCGACAGAATACCCCTTAATCCCAGAAAGTAGGATTACATCATCAAATTGCATCGACCTACGGAAAAAAAGTGGTTTGCACCACAAGCCTGCTCCCACAGAGGAGGGTAAAGGTGGTAACGTTCACGAAAATTCAGAGCGATTCTGCTAGGGGGGGGGAGGCTGGCATTCCGCACTTTTGCTACTTCCCGTCGACGCCTTCATTGCTTCAGAAGAGTTTACAAGCAGCTTTCGAAACTCTGGCTGTTATCACTTCGTTCACAAGATGTCACAGACGTCCACCTGATTGCTCGATGTGGCACCAAGAAGTAGTAAATGTGAAAAATGCCATTCCCCCCCCCCACCAACGAGGAAGTGCACCAAAATTCAATAACAACATTGAAGAAGAACAAAAAAGAGAACGAACCTGCTTAAAATGGCAGTAGAAAAATGACAGATCCGATTGATGGTAAAGCCAGGAATAGCCACTGAGGCTAAAGCTTGCCAAAGAAATGTGTCTCCAGCGGCTATCGCCACTTTTGTACGTCGCTTTTCAGGATTGTTCCTATACAACTGAAAATAACTTACGACAGTTTCTAACGATGACATCATTATTAGGCAAATTAGTAATACCTATGTAAGGATTCAAAAGGTTAAAGAATAATGAAGGGGAAAAAGGGACAGGTGGGAATGGTAACTAGAGGAGACTGTCAGAAGACAAAGAGGAACGGTAGTATGAAAGCTATTGGCTTCTACAAAATGTGATAACAAGTGAAACGGCCAAAAACTAAATGATAGGGCAAAATGATCCGAAATGAATAGAAAGCTAAATACGGTGGATTTCAATATCGTGTTTTGATGTAAGCACCCAATCATTTGAAACCAAAACAAAAGTTAGTTTACCACAATGGTTCAACCTGCACGAGGGAATCGCTCCTATCCTCCTTGACCCCCCAAGTCTGCAGAAAAATTCTCATTCCCTTGCTCGAGTACTTACTGAACTTTCGAGCACCAAAGGAAGTCCGAGAAAAAATGGAAGAAAATGGCTGAAAGGGGAAAAGTGAAGAGAATCGTCAGGAAAGTGATAAAACACTGTGTATTATAGGAAACATCCAAAGAACATGGAGATGAAGAAGTAGGGTGAAGGAGCAGGACTGAATGTGAACAGAACACCGAGGGATTGCTCAAAAAGGAAATAATAAACAAATAAGAAAAATGTCAAAAAGGAGAAGAAACGCTTTAACTGAGGCAAGTGAAAACAAACAAAAATGTGCTACCCCAGCAGGATGGGACGGAGGACTTTTTGACTGCAAACTCCTGTCCGCACAAAAGAATTGGTCCTTACCCACCTTTAGGCGTAGGCGGCAAACACATTGGTCCCCTGGTCCCCAACATTGCGGACTGCTATACAGCGCATAATTCCGCGACCCTTATGTATTTTCTCCAGTAATCGGAATCCATGGGTAAACTCGCGGTGATGAATTTGTTACTTACCTCATCCAGAAATGTGAATCACCACAACGAAAGTAAGGAAATACCCGAAAAAAAATGAAGCGAATCTTCTCTGTGCGCTGGCAAGAGTACTAGATGGGCCAAATGTGTGAAAATAGAAAAAAAAATAGAAAACAACTGATTAAAAAACGCTCAAAAGCACAGACACTTGCCATCGTTATTTCACAAACCCCGGGCCAAGCACTAGAGCGCTATACACCACAATCACCTGCCTTATTGGAATAGCGCTGAACAAAACAGTACCACAAAAGGAGCAAAAAGCGTCACAAGTAGAGGGAAAATGGCAGACCACACAGGATGAAGCAGAGCTTCAGTGAAAGATGGGTTATGTATGATATAGAGGAGATAAAGGAGAATCAGAAGCAAAAAACCTCAGCCAAAGAGGAGAGAAGTTCGCGGAAAGAGATAAGGTACGATATGGAATAATGTAACTGGTAACCGAGGAACAGGGTAAAATGCCTCGAACAGGAAAAATCCTGGCGTAAATTGAGCGCCTTTCAAGCCCAGGGGAGCAGAAGAGAGGGAGGTGGTGGGCGGGCTATTTTGCTAGCTCCCGTAGAGGTGGAGATTTAAACTCTAAAGAACAACGAAAACTCCAGCAAAGCTAATACGGCAGTGCCTAATGGAGTTGGCACTGTTTAGTAAGTTTACAAGGATTTGCAGTTTTCTACTTAGCAAAGCTTGCTCCCGGTTCCCAAGTTTGCATGCCTAACCAAGGTGAGAAAAGGTAAGAGAACTGGAGACACTAGAGAACTCGCAAAATGCCCCTCCCCTTAGGCGGGTTTTTTTGAGATACAAGGTCTTCCGTTGACCAGGTATTCCCTCGCTATGAGGGTCCACACGTATTTTCTCCCGAACGTTTGAAGGGAAGAAAATGGGAAGAAGGAAGACAGAACGAAGAGGGAAGAAGGAAGACAGAACGAAGATAGGACAAGAAGGAAAGAAGAAGGAAAACGAAGGGGCGCGGTTGACGGATATTCTGAGGCCTTTTGGTGGAGTCTTATAAATAAAACAAAATTATTTATTAAAAATAAACGGATAAGTAATGAATAAACTGCAAAAGTTGAACACACCTTGTATGCCTTATTACTTTTATCGAGAGCATCTGCGCAGGCATATCCTAAAGCTACAACGTAAGTTGCTCGTACGGCATTAACTGGAAGCATCGACCGGAATGCTTCTCCAATTTCATTAGCATAACCTGAAATAAAAGAAGATTTGAAGGCCTAGTAACAAAAAAAATCATGAAAAGCTACTACAGAATTCAAAAAAAAAGTGCAAATGGTACAAATTTACCTAAATACCTTATTGGAGTATCCCTGTAGAGATCGATTTGACGTAGATCGGACTTCAATAATTCGAATTCGTCATCGCATTTTTTTAACGATGACATTTCTGAAAGTAAAGCTAGACAGAAAGTGATGGATGACACAAATATCAAAGCAAAACTGGTCTGTGGTTTTGAACACAGGGAAAAATTGCCATTGACTGGTATAGAGCAGCGGCTGCGTCGCGGCGGCATGGAATCGAGCATGCCAACTGGCAGTCATTGGGATAGAAACCCAATGACGCCTTGCGAACTTTACAAAAGCACCGGTTATGATTTACTTATCGTTAGATTCTATACAATTAAACTGACGGTTTAAAGGAGAAATGATCAGCTAACACTCAAAAGACTTCCATAGTGTAAGGCCGTGGTGCCGGGAGACTTCCTAAATCATTATACTTTCGATGTGAACATTCACAAGCTCAATGTTGAAGCATGAAGATTCGGTGGAAAATCTGTTTTGAAATTTCAAAAGATCTGAAAGTAACTGCAGGGTTCATGAAGTTTCATGAATACTTTCCGGACTAGAAGCTCTCCAACGAGAAAGAGGGGAAATAGTGTTTTTTCTTGTGAAATAAAAAATGGACAGAACAGACAAGCGGACAGTACCATCGGTGACAACTAAAACTTTCAGTGAGGGTCCTGCTGCGAAAGGGCCAGAGCGCAGAGCAATAACTGCGGCCGCCAAGGCATCGAAAGGTTCAAAAAAACTTGTCGCGAGCCAAGAGATGACTTTTTCCGAAGGAAGCTACACCGGGGTGGCTGAGCCACCTAACTTGCATGAAAATTTGGAATATGAAAGTTCGTCACAAAAAGCAAGCAGACGTGAGAGCGCAGAGAAAAGCAGAAAGTTGGCGCCGTTAAAGGGATTGAGCTCTATTTGTCCGTAGACTGTTCACACCAGAGGGCAGAAAGAGGAGTAACTGCAAAAGCGGAGAGGGTCAAGATGAAAGTGAGACCAGGACGTATACATAAGAAAAACAGTCGCCGTGGAGTACGCAGCAACGCCTCTTGCTGCTTTCCTGATATGGATTATTGCTAGTACAGCTCAGGGCACTTCGTAAATTGGAAATCCTTAGTGAAGGGGTAGTATTTCGACACTGGAAGGGGTGAGGTCGTACCTTCGTGAGAAATGTTTTCGGTTGTTCGGCTTTTCTCGGTTTTTCCCGTTCGACCTGTCTTATGTACTCCTATTTCCCAGGGAAAAGGGAAAGCTAGAGAAAATTTGGAATAAGTGAACTGGGAAAAATTAATTGGGCGAGTTTGGGAAGATGGTACACTTAATATCACTGCAATTGTCGGGTCGCAATCAGCGGTTCTCAGCTGCGGCGTTTCCATCATTGGTTGTTTCCTTCCTAAATCGATCTCTACCCGATCGCCATTGGTAGAGCAAGGGAGCCGAACGCGGACTCGAACCGCGCTGCTCACGCCGCCTCCGACAGTCCGCAATGATGAGGACTGTAGGTACCTCTATACCTAGAGGAGAGTCCGTGGCTGCGCAATTCATATAAACGCCGCGGGAGCTGCGCTTCTGGAGGGATATTGCAATTTCAGATTAGTTCTAATCATGACTTTGTACAGTACAATAGGGTACAGCACTTTTATCTATAGGAAAAATCTCACGAACAACGCCATATTCAAGTAAATTATGCAGTCGCGCCTACTCCATCGCTGGGATTTGTAGTATAGTATGAAGAATGATAAAGGGAGAGTTAAATTTTACCAGAGGAGGAATTTTGGGTATGGGTCGTATCTTGCAAAATTTCTTGTCCAGCGGCAGTGAGTGCCTTGGTGAAAGAGGGGTAAGAATGCTGGCACGCGCGCAACGGTTGCGTGACATCTTGAACTTTCGCGCATGGTCCTGTTACGAAACCCTAGACGCAGAAGGATAGAGGGAGGGGACTCCTGGATGGGTGAGCTACTTACAGCGGCCAAAGAGTGCCAAGCGGACGAGAAAAGGCAGAGAAGAAGAGAAGACGCGTTTAAAGGGATTGAGTTCAAGTTGTCGAAGGCCGGGCGCAACATTCGCACGAATACTCAACTGATCTAACGATATAAGTTTATACTATTGGGTTGGCACATAAGTACTTTCGTTTTTTTCAACCGGAAATTTCGTTCCAAAGATGAAATGTTTTGCTAGCAAGCTTGATATCATCTGATAGGAAACTTCACGTAGTTTTAGAATATCAAAACGGCTTCGGTTGAGGGAATAATTTTTGTGGATTTTTTAGTCGTTGAAGTTGAAAGCGAAGTCGGCGAAAATTAGCACCTTCGACAACTGCCTCTATTTACGTCTACTCGAAGTGCTAAAATCGCTTAAGCTGCTCCATACATTTGGAAAAGGTCGAGCTAGAAGTTCCAGCAAGGGAATCTCACTAGGACGCTTTGGAACGAATTTCAAGAATTTTGAAGTTACCAACCTTCACCTCGCCGATATTGGGCAGCTCACGTCTGTTCCACCTGAAATTTTATGCTAATATTTGAATGTTTCGCTGATATGTTTTGCATGTTCTGATAGCAAATTTCGTGCTCTATAACACTGCTATAGAAATCTGTTCTCCAGAGGTGTTTGCTTTCTGTTAAGTTCAGGTTATCATTACGGAACGTGAGGTCGATGAGAATTAGAGTTCCCGACTTCCTCTCTCAACCGCTGTCCACTGAAGCTTCAAAGCTCCTAGAGCAGCTCAATAGAATCGCCATGGTTTGAGTAAGGCTTAGAGTAACAGATTAGTGTTAGGACAGCTCTTAGCGAATTTCCCGAGCAGCATCAGCAGCTCTGATACCTCTGTTGAATGCGAAAAGGAGGAGATGTCTGAAGTGCTGATGCTTATCGACCTGACATTCCATATTATCCACCTGAAAAACAAGGTTCATCAAACGGATTTTCAAAATAACTGCAACGCAGTGTTATAGAGCACGAAATTGGCTATCAGAACATATAGAACACATTAGCGAAACATTCAAATGTTAGCATAAAATTCGTGGAGAACGGGAACGCTAGTTCTCAACGACTTCAATGATAACCTGAACTTAACAGAAAGCAAACACCTCTGGAGAACAGATTTCTATAGCAGTGTTATAGAGCACGAAATTTGCTATCAGAACATGCAAAACATATCAGCGAAACATTCAAATATTAGCATAAAATTTCAGGTGGAACAGACGTGAGCTGCCCAATATCGGCGAGGTGAAGGTTGGTAACTTCAAAATTCTTGAAATTCGTTCCAAAGCGTCCTAGTGAGATTCCCTTGCTGGAACTTCTAGCTCGACCTTTTCCAAATGTATGGAGCAGCTTAAGCGATTTAGCACTTCGAGTAGACGTAAATAGAGGCAGTTGTCGAAGGTGCTAATTTTCGCCGACTTCGCTTTCAACTTCAACGACTAAAAAATCCACAAAAATTATTCCCTCAACCGAAGCCGTTTTGATATTCTAAAACTACGTGAAGTTTCCTATCAGATGATATCAAGCTTGCTAGCAAAACATTTCATCTTTGGAACGAAATTTCCGGTTGAAAAAAAACGAAAGTACTTATGTGCCAACCCAATACTTCACTAGATATAAGTTTATACTACTTCACTACTACTAATATAAAGTATAAAGTTAAATATAAATGTGAAGTTACTACTACTTTATACTAGTAGTTAAGGTTGGCTGTGGATCATTCTGCAATTTTGTGCGCGGTAGTCGAATATACTGAGGTTCGTCATGGAAGTCCTGTAATGTGAGCAGGGTACAGCATAGGGATAGGCGAAGTGTCGGTGTGAGTACGACCCCCCCCCCCTCAGCTCGACCGGACTCTTTCGCCGACTGACGAGCGATGAGTATATATAGTCGGCGAAAAAGTCGTCGAGCGCGGGGGAGGGGGTATACAATAACTATGCAACGTATATCCGGCGGGTGTACAGGGTGCATATAAACAAAAAATTAATACGAATTAATACGACCCCCTTTTTCCACAAGAAAAAATCAACTATCAAAATAAATTTGTCTTACCCCTACCCCAAATACGACCCCCCTCCCCAGAGCAAAAGTACGACCCCCCCTATGTGTTTCACACAAGGATGCTGTACCCTGAATGTGAGGCTGAAGACGTTTTATAATGATGAACGCGAAGGTGCAGGAAGTTCGAAGGCTTCGTCCATTTTGTAGCGCTAAACCAAGAAGCTACCTAAACTTTCATCGACCGTATGCTTCTCATGATTCTTGACGCTTCTTCTTAGATGTTTTGTCATCCTACCTGAGTAAGACTTCGTTGAACCTTTGTACTCGTCAGAATAATCAGACGAATTCATAAGACATCAAATGAAAACGATTGTTCTGGCGGTGTACCCTTTTTAAGCGATTGCCCTAATAACAAAAGCCCACCAATGCGTTCAAATAGAGGGTAGACCTTTGAAAGTTTTCTTGCATTCAATTCAATTCATTGTTCCTGTCACTGAACTGCTTTGCGGCATGAATAAGCCACTAATTGTAGTTCAGGTGGCAAGTAGTGTCACTTTTGCCTGGATATAGGTTCATTTTCCTAGCCCTAATTTCTTCAGTCCTTAGAAGGCCTTTCTACTTGCTTCTACACAAGGGATCTTCTGCCTTTGCCTCGACTTCGGTGAGGGCCTTCTTGATGAACTCCATCCAGTTTTTCTTTGGGGTTCTTCCTAAGCGCTGAAGAGACTAGTGCGAGCGTTCAGTTCAAATTTCACCAGACGCTTGTACACAGGGCTCTCAGTGTTAATATCCTTTTTTTCGCAACCCTTCCTTGTCAATAAGTGATCCACCCCTGGTGCAGGACATGCCCAAGCTAAGCGCGTTTTCCCTTACCAAACTCCCAGAGCTCGAAGTTCGTTTTGGTGACATTTTTGTTACTTCTGCGCTTTTATAGACGAGTTACCAATTACAGTCATTGCAGATACTTTCTAGTACGTGACGAACATCTAATGAAGGGTTCCGGTCTCCCCTAAGCTATCGTACAGTATCCTATCGCACCATCCTAGTTAAATGCAGGCACTTTTGCTTTCGAATTTTTGGCTGGATGTACCATAAGGGCACTTGGCCGAATGGTCGCGAAGCG